AGAAAATCAAACGACGCAATATAAGGGGAAAAGTAGGTCAAAAAAACGTGAAAAGGTCATCAGTATCTCATGATGATCAATCAACTGGACAATTCAGATAGACAAATCAACAAAAGAAAAAAATCACTACAATGAAAAGAAGTTAGTGACATAGAGCGACATCTTATGTCACTAACACGTCCCCCTTTCGAGAAAAGAAAGAAAAAGAATTACGATTGGTCATCAAGGTTGATGACGTAATCGAATAACAGAAGACAAAATGAAAAAATAAAGAGACGAACAAGAAGAAACTGAAGAGTAATAAATCAAAACACAAATAAACAAACGATGAAAAACGAAAACAAACAAAAAAAGATGAGCACACAAAAGTTAAATAGTGTTCAATGATGTTGTTGTGCCATCCATTGATAATAATGATGTTCGTCGAAAACATCAGAAACAAGAATTTGTTCAGCTTCTTGTTTACGTGTTGAATTATTAAATTGAATGAAGATTTGATGATGCCGAATTTGAGGTAAATGATTGCATTTAATATTTTTGTCTTTTAGGTATGATGTAATATATTTTAATTGCCAAACTGGATCAATTGAACGAATAACAACATTTAATTTTTGTTTTTGTTTTAATCGTTGATGTCTTTTATGATTGCGACGAACTTTTGCTTCATGTGAACGTTGATTATGGGTAGGTGGATGAATTTTATTTATTAATTGAATCAGATGTTGTTGAATGAAATCAAAAAGCAATGATTGATGTTGTACGTCAAGATGTATACCATCAGGACTAATATGATAGTTGTTGATAGGTAAATCGACAATAGAAAAATTCAATTGATTTGATAAATTATATAAACGTGTATTATAATCAATTAAGTTTGACAATAATGAAGTAGTTGATGGATATTGTGAAGATGGTTTTAGACAAGGAAATGTCGAACAAATAGAAATATTAATTTTACGTCTTAAATGATTATAATTTGATCGAATAAGATGAATAGTATCAGTAAGATCATCAATAGCTTGTGATGATGGTAAATTACGTACTGAATTAGTTCCAATGAGCAAGACGATTCCAGTACAAATAGAAATAATTGATGATATATCAGATGATAAAATTAAAGTTTGAGCACATAAGTTTTTGTTATAGCGATGTACCCAATGAAGACCAGAAATAGATTTTACGATAATCTTATAAGTAGATGTAATGGTAAGTGGAGGTAGATATTTTCCATGACTGTCTGACAAGACAAGAAATACTGGTATATTATCTGGTGGATCATTACGAAGCGTTTGTAAATTAACAGGAATGTTAACTTGTTGACAATGGATGTTTGTTTTATCAAGATGACAAAGTAATTTCGTTGGCGCTAGAGTATCATTTATAGCGTGAGAAATTAATTGTTGTCGAATATGTTGTTCACCAGCAGTGCGACCAGTATGCAAGTGTGGATCTAATCCACAGGACCACGTAGTTGTAGTTAAAGACCTATCTAAAATCTGATTAAATATTAATTGTATAGCCTTTTGTATGGACCATAAAGTATGTGTATCTTTGTAAGGACGAGCAGTCTCTGGACATATACAATTAGGAAAGTTATCAGTTGGATCTTGTGGGAATAGATCATCGTTAATGTCATCGGTATTTACCAAGCATATTAGAACGTCATCAGGAACAGGTTCGTCAGCCAGGAACTGGCGACGACTGAGACATTCTGGAATATGTGGGTGTGTATTATTCCAGTATTGAGAAAATAACTCCTGAAAATTTAATGTAACCGTGACCTGAGAAATATCGAAAAGATTAAAATGTTCGAAAGGATGAAGTTGGGTTAAGACATTTCCCCAGGACATGATTGTTTTACTATTAGAAAAAATAGTTTGACATAGTTGTCGAATCAAAGTAAATAAAGACGACGACGGAGGTGGAAGATATTGAACTTCAATGAGAATGATAGTGGAGTAAGTTTGATGATGAACTGCCTGTATCTGTAAAAGTGCAGGATTAGAATTAGGATGTTGTGAAGTTGGTTCTTCACATTTTGTGCTAATAGTAAAGAAGCGAACATTAGCAATCTTATTAAGTATACCAAGAATGAGATGCTGAGGGGTGTGACAATGAATATGAAACGGTGAATCATAAGTACATTCTGGCCATTCAAAAAATTGAAGGCTAGATAGTGATACTTGATTATGTTGACCGTTTGGTCTCGGTGTTAAGTATTGATATTTTTTCTTGGATGATAAGTGGTATGGGTATTTGTGTGTAAGTCGACTAGAAAATTTTTCATGTGAATTCGAAATGAATGGATCGTAACGTGTCGATTGATGACTAATTCTCGTATTCATTGGTTGACTGCTGTTCTCCGAATAATTCGAAGACGGCAAGAATGAATAATGAGAATTATGTGCATTAAATGATGGGTAAGGGTAAATAGAAAGAGATGGTAAAGGTGATTGATGATATGTTGGTGAATAGTTTTTACTTAAAGAAAATGGTATAAAGTGATGAACGTAGTTGGAATTAAAGTGGTGAGTATAGGACATGATGGTAAAGAGAAATGTGTTGATCGACCAAGAAAGTTAATAAATAAACGTAATATAATGAATCCTATAAATGATGTAAGGAAATTATTATGGGACATTTGTAGTGCACTTAAACATTAAGCAAAGTAGTATGAATATCGATAGAGATAGAATACTGTTACAATGTTAGCCGACGGCGCCTTCGGCTTACATCCAAAATGATAGTGACTATCGGATTCAACCGAACGTTTTAAAATTCGGAAGTATCGCTGCTAATGGTATTGAGCGAACTAAGGGATAGGACTCAATTGAAAGAAAGATAGTAAAGGGTATTAATGCAGAAGTGTAAACTGATGAAGTGAAAACAGGAGGAATTGTTTAGACTAGAAAAGGAATTCGAAATTTTTCTAAAATGCTATGAATAACTTAAATTCTATTAAACGATTAGAATAGGACGTAAATCGGCAACATGTACCTGTGAAGATACTCGATTTATTTCGTCTTGCACAACATATATAGGATGAAAGACACGAGTTATCACCTGGGGAATGGGTGAGAACCTTGGGTCCAATTTCCCCCTATTTCCATGTATTCGTATTAACACTTTATCTCCAACTTTAAAATGAGGATCTGCACGATTACGATCATATAGAATTTTATTATTCTTTTGTTGTAAAAGAATGTGATATTTAGCTGCCTGATGATAGATGCGCAAAGTTTTTCTCAATTGCTCAAAATAATCATTCGGTTTCTTAAATGAAAGAGATAATGGTCGTGTATCAATTGGTAAGCGGGGTAAACGACCAAAAAGGAGTTGGTAAGGCGAGTACTTAGTGGTTTTATGGATACCGGTATTATACGCAAATACTACCGCCTGCAGATACTCATCCCAGTTGTTGTCTTGAGTATTCTGCAACTTCGAGATTTGGGGAATAAATGTGGCATTGAATCTTTCGACTATGCCATTGGTTTGGGGATGATACGAAGTGCTATAGATATGATTATAACCGATAAGATGTTTAATGTTATCCATCAGTTTATTACGAAAATGGGAACCTTGATCGGTAAGGATAACAGTCGGTATCCCATATTTACAGAAATACTCATTAAATAGCGCTTGGGCCGTGGTTTCGGCCGTACAGTTAGGTACAGCTATAGCTGTAATATGACGAGTGAAATGATCAGTGATCACTAAGACATACTGATTCTCACGCGGCGTCTGTTTTAATGGGCCACAGTAATCGAGCCCGATTAAGAGGAAGGGACCATCAGGCGGGGGTATTGGATGCAAATGTCCATATTTCTTTTCACGACTTATATTATACTGTTTACATAGGACGCACGAATTTATGTGGTCTTTGATGGAAGATTTCATACCAGGCCACCAGTATCTATACTTAATCTTATTAAATACTCTTTCGCTTGAAAAATGTGCTCCTGTCATAGGATCGTCATGACAGGCTATAAGCAACGACGTAATCATTGATGATGGCAGATAAATCACTTCCATTTTTCTTTTGGATCGATAGAACGGCTTAACTAGTTTATATAAAATATTGTCTTTAAAGACATATGATAAGTTTTTTTGTTGATTCTGAATTTGTTTGATTATTTTTAGAATAAATGGATCCTGTTGTTGTTCTTGTCTGATCTTAGTCAAATCAAACTGGTTATATGAGAATTTACTTTCAGCTGAATCCTTAGAAGAATTATTATTTATTGGTGGTATGTTTATTCGATTATCAGGACTTAATGTTTTATTTGTCAAGTTGGAATGTGATGAAGATTGTTGTTGTTTAGTATGAGAACGTAATACCATGGAGGCAAGTATGTTTTCTTTAGCATTAGTTTTACATGATGGTGACTTAGTAGACGTTGATGTTAATAGTGGTTTTGATACGGATGACTGAGCTTTACTTTCTAGTCCATACTCTATTTCAAAAAGATCATCATTCATTTCATTAGAGTATCGCGAGAGAAAATCCGGAAGACAATTTTCTCGTCCTTTTATATGAATTACCTTTTCGATATTAAATTCCTGAATTAAGTGTGCAATTCGTTCTACTTTAACATTACGAACGTTTTTTTCCATAAAGTGACATAACGGACAATGATCCGTATGTAGAATAATGCTACGACCTAACAGAAACGTACGCATTCGCTGAAAACATTTATAGATTGCCAAGGCCTCTTTTTCGATTGCACTATATTTGCGCTCAGATGGAGTCATCAGTTGGGAGTGGTAATACAAATTGTGTATTTCATCCCCAACTTCCTGTTGAAGAACTCCACCAATTCCGATTCCACTAGCGTCCGTAGTCAGCATTAACGGAATGCCGTCCACTGGGTAATGGAGGAATAATGGTTCACTTATTAACATCTGTTTTAGTTTATTAAAAGCTTTCGATTGAGGCTCGTACCATTTAAATTTATAACGTTTGTCTTTAGTTAAATTCGTTACTGCATGTATGGGAGAGGCTATGGTAGCGAAACTTGGAAGGAATTTTCGATACCAACTAAGAGGTCCTACAAACTTATTCGCTTGTGCTAGAGTACGTGGTTCTTTTATCTGAAGTATTGCGTCAATTTTTTCTTTCATGGGTGTTATACATTTTTGACTTATAGTATGTCCTAAATAATCGATATGATTTACTGCAAGCACGCATTTCGGAGGATTAAGTACTAGATTCTGTGCTTGTAGAGCTGACAAAACGTATTGTAAATGAAGAATATGTTCGTCAAAGGATTTAGAAAAAACTATTATATCATCTAGATATACTAGAGAAAAATCTCGACAACGTTTTAGAGTATCAGTCATAACCTTTTGGAACGTAGGCGGGGAATTTTTCAATCCCATAGGTAGTACGTTGAACTGATATAGACCAAAAGGCGTTACAAAAGCAGTTCTTTCTTTATCCTTTTCATTTATCGGAATTTGATAAAATCCAGATTTAAGATCTAGTTTTGAAAAATACCTATATCCTCGACCGAGTTTTCTGATTGTATCCTCCATGTTGGGTAGTGGCGACGCGTCCTTAATAGTTATTAGATTTAACTTTTTATAGTCAACCACAAATCGATATGAACCGTCTTTCTTTTTTACTAGTAGTGCAGGAGCTGCATAAGGTGAATGTGATTCTGATATTAGTCCTGCTTTAAGAAATTCTTGCATTAATTCGTACATTGGTTGTTCCTTATCGGGTTGAGGATATGGCTTACAGGCAGGTGGTGAGTGTGGAATAGTATTTATAACATGATGAATTGTGGTGTTGGCAATACTGTGCCTGCTAGTATCGAATATATGAATAAAGCGATTTAATAATGAGTATAATTTATCTTTATGTTCTTTATTTTCGATAGATTTGACTAATGTATCGATATGAGCTCGCGTAGATAAAGTGTTTGCTGATATTGGATTAGAAGAAGAAACAGCTGTATGATCCCTATGACTTGTAGGGAACGTTATAGATGGTAAAAAGCATGACCTTAAAGGACAATATGTACGATTAGTATCATGTAAATCAAGAGAAACTGGCGACACACCAGTATAACTGGTTGCGTCCGATGATTCACATAGATAATTAGATGATTTAGAATTTGTAATCATGGGTGAAGAACATTTAATATATCCGATACAAAACCCTTTCTTAATAACATGCGAAGAAGCTGATGTATTAATGAACGAAACTGTTGAACGATGATTACGAAAATTAAGAAGTGTATGTGAAATAAATATACCATTCAGTCTACCTAAATCTTTGTTAGGTAATAAAACAGAACACATAGAAGGTATAGGTATTGTAACTTCTATAGAACGAGTTGAATAAGCAGGAATATATATTGATTTCAACGAAACAACGCGAATCATTTGTACTTCACTTTCTAAATCAATAGGCATAATTAGCAAACGATTTTCATGCTCGATAGAAATAGTTTGATGTTTAACATTAATGCCTAAGTTATATAAATTAATGTAATCCATGCCTAGTATGACGTTCGTACATAGATTTTCAGCTATATGAGCTTCAATTACTGTCATTTTTCCCGCAAATTGAATAAATAATTTCACTGTTCCTAGAACTTTAAAAGATGTTACTCCATCAGCAAGGTAGAAAGAATAAGGTTTTGAACGAGTTAATTGTGAGTGTTTGAAATAAACTAATAATTTTTTATTGATGAAAGTCGTAGTGGCTCCGGTATCTAGTAAAATTTTTGTTCTATAATTATTAACGAAAGTAGTGAAAAAAATTAACGATGATTTAGATGGGTTTATTTTATTTTTTCCGGAGGCAACACCATCATTCGAAACCTCCAGAACTAAAAATTCGAACAGGCCGAAGCCTCGTGTCCGATTTGATGACATCGATTACAAGTAATAGAAGAAAATGATTCGACAGGTAGCTCTGTGTTAACTGAAGCGCAAGACTGATTAATAGAATTAACGGCATTTTGACGATTCTGTGTATTACGTGTGAAGTTCGTTTGTTGTTGTGGATACCTTTTGTAGTTATTATTATTTGGATTAGACGACGGGTATTGTCGATTAGGTCGTGAAAAATTACTAGCATGACGCGATTTATTTTGTGGTGACTGTAAATTAGAAAAGGATGACGTATTTGAATTAGAATAATTGTTTCGATTATTCGTGGATCGATAGCTATTGGTAAGTTGTTTCGAATAGTTATTTGAGAAATTAGGTGCCTTATTATGAAAAGCTGAATTTTCTGGTACTAATGGAGCAGATACTAATGATGGAGTCGACGTTTGTGAGATAGTTTGTTTACTATTATCAATATTAGTATGATTGCCATATCTGTGATGAAGATTGCCATCAACTTCGTCAATTGAGAAAGCTGATAGTTGAATGAGTTCCTCTGCTTCTTTAGCATATTCGAGAAACTCGGCTGTCGTTATCGGTTTTTTCTTACGCACTTCATATTGTATACTAGGTTTTGCTTTATTTAGTAAATTTTTCAATTTAGTTGCTTCACTCATCGTACTATCTGCTTCCTTACACAACTTTAGTACTTCATTAAAAAAATTGCGTATAGACTGGTTTTCACCTTGATTATACGTCTCTAACTTCTTAAAAGCCAATTCTTCATGGAAACTTGAAGTAAAAGATCGTTTGAGTTCCTGTACAAAAAGTTTCCAAGTAGTTAGTGAGGATCGATTAATACGAAACCATTCTAAAGCGTCACCACGCAATGAATACGAAACAAAATCCAATTTTATAGAATCCGGAATATGAGCTATATCAAAAAGATGTTCCATTTCCTCTATCCATTTTGTTACATTATCTTTACCACCTTTAAATACTTTCGGATTCTTAATTAACGTATCAACTATTGCTCTCCGAATGTCACTTACAGTCTGATCAGAAGATAGAATAGAAATATCTTCAGGTATTACTGTAGACTTAACAGCTGACACATCACCAGTAACATTGGTGGTACCAAGATTAACTAGAGTTGTAGAATTGGATTCAACTGACTGATTCATTGGAATATTCGCATTACTATTATTCGAGATGATTTGATGTGAACAATTTGAAGCATTATTCTGATTGATTGTCGATTGGCTGCATAGATTACTAGCTGCGCCTTGTTGAAAATGTGAATGACTTTCTTTAATATTGACTATCTCGAATTGTGCTAGTAGAAATTCATAAAAATCGTCAAAGGAATTAATGTATTTTCGATTTTTGATATATTGACGTTTTGCTTCACCTTCGACTAATAACGAAATAGCATCAAATCTGTGATCACGCCCTATTCGAAAATTTTTGAATTTAATTTCTGTTTCATCGAGCCATTGTACGACATTTTGTCGTCCCGAGAACGGAACGAAATTGCGTAAAACAAACATATCAAAACTTTCTTCACCTGAATCCTGTTCATTTTTATTGTCCACCTCTATATTATTTTCATCTGAATTTTTAGTACAATAATTCACTCTGTTTGTTTTATTATAGATTTGTTCATTTATATCTACATCTCCTGTATTAACTACATTATGAATCTTTTGTTGTCGATTTGAATCAATCATTAAAGTATTTTTATTTATTTCTGTTACAAAATTTTCGTTATTAACTTGAGTTTCAACAGAATTCTTTTCAATATCAACACATGAAGTATGTTCTTCTCGAACTTTCTCTTTATCATTATTTAAATTCATTTTTTTTTCTAGAAACTGTGTTTCCAGTTCAATATTTGTTTCTGATGATTTATGTGTATGCGTTGGTCGATTTGGTGTTGGTATAAGTGCTTTTCGACGTTCATTAATATTATGAATCTGATTATTTTGTTCTGGATTTGTTGTTGACGATAATAAATTATGTCCAGTTGTAGATAATTCATGTAATGAATTTGTTGATGATGATTTTGGTATAGAAGAAATATCAGTGGTATTAATCATTTCCACTTATTGAAAAACTTTTTTTTTAAATCGTTTACAACGAATGAAAAAAAATTAACGAAACAAACACGAGAAAACAAAAAAAACGACTTTAATGTTCGAAAAAAAAGAAAAAAAAATATACAGAATGATATATAGTATATTTATATATCTATATCTATATATATGAATACGGAGGCAAAAAAAAAAAAGTTTTTTTTTTTTTTTCTTTTTTTTTTTACTTATATATGCAGACTAATTGCCCAACTTCTCCACCAATTTGCGAGGTCTCCTTTCACAATATCTAATAATGAATAATACGGGCGCTGAGTCTGCTACAGCAGGAGATTGATCGCATAAAGAAAGTGCCTACCGTAAGGTATAGAGATTCACCAGTGGTTC